CGGCGGGAAACAACACAGATGAGGCACATTGGTTGATCGCAAAGACCACGGAGCAGAATGTCTCGATTGAAAACTAAATCATTGCGCCTCTGGGCCCGCACTTTTCATACACCAGGACCAGGAGAGAAACTGAACGAGGGAGTTATCGATGCAGTGTGCCGTCACTTCGAATGCCCACAGCCTATCAACGACAAAAGCCAGAAACCATGAGTGGAGCTTATACAACCAGGAGAAACACGGCGGAAGGTGAAATCTCCGTTCGACTTTCAAATTCGAGAAAGTTATTTGCGGTTATAACTGAATCGCTTTCAGAGAGGTATCATTTCTATAATGTCCGAAACAAATCAGAGTCAACAGTTAGATAAGCAATTGGAACAAGCAAGATATTTTGCACCGGGAGTAAATGTGAAATTTTGCGTTTAGCCGCATAAGTATTTGCACTGAACGGACAAAGACGGAGCGTGACACTTTCAAGTAATTGCCATGAATTCTATAACGGATAAGACCAAAGTTTAACCAAGGTAAAACCGAAAGACCTGGTCAGAAGCGATTGAAAATTCTCAGGGCTATCGATAAACCTATTCTGCTAATAGCCTCATTCAGTAGCAGCGAATTTCAGTTGCCTCTACCCGAAATTCAAGTTGATTTTTGTGGCCAGACGTGTACTACTACTGAATTGGTAACGATTCCAACCGCAACCGCTGCACTGTACAGTAATGCCATAAGTCCTGATCTCATATAACGGCCTACAATCTAGGCCTTCGTAGTTTGCAGTTAGTTGCGTATTAAGCGGCCGTAATTATCATCACCGCCATCAGCGTAAAGTGAAATACAATGAGGTGCACTTCACTGACCCCTATCAAGCTCATAAAACATGCAAATAATACGTAAGATGGTAAGGATTTATTATTAGGAAATAATTATGGGAGTACGGTGACCTCAACATGCTGATATACTTTCGCCAAGCTATTTTTTCCAACTTAACACCCGTAATCGAATGTCACTATTCAATTTCCCATGATTTCAAGTTCAGATGCGTATCAAACAAATCACGGTACAGCAATAGATCACGATTTGCTCATAGATGGAATACCGCTAGGTTGCCCAGACCAAAAGAGAACACTCTTAGGGATACCAAAATCGGAGCCTTCAGTCAGCCAAAGCCTACCCCACAAAGCAGCGAGGCGATGAATGAAAACCGTAATGCATTGGAGGCTGGTGTCCAGTTCGTCAAGCCATACACCTAATGTGTCCAATCAAGCAGATGATCACTGCAACAATCATAGATATGGGTGCAGTTCATACACCTTATCTTGGTCGGTTTGGAATCAGGGGGTTTAGTCAATTTCCCCAACTGAACTGCTGGTGGTTCAGCTGCTAATATACAGACCCGGATGTTGATCTTTTGTTCTCTCATTTTGGAGGGGGAATACCCCCGCCACTTGGATAGCGAATTGAGTCTCTTCGACAGAGGCTTACTGAGAAGCTTCATTGTACGAGAGCATTTCGCAAAAAGTAAGGGAAACTTGACTGGTGGCAACCCAATACAGCCACCCCAGAATATGCTGAGGTTTTTGGAGGCAGTATCTTGGCATATTTAATCGTTCGCTGATCAAATCACAAAGGCGGGGATAAACTGCTATGATCGATTGATACTTTTCCACTCGTGGATTGCTCGACCCCCAACCCAAACACCATAGGTATCCAGTTGAAGAGCTTCCAGATTAACGTTGGGACTAGGTATATCAACTACTTCGGATACGGGCATGCAGCACGACTCCACGGAATAGTCCCCTGATTTTAAACTCACAGACAAATTGACGGATCATCGTAACATCAAGTCCAGCAGACGACAATAACCCCACGGACGCACCAGATCAACCCAAGAGTCTACCGTAGTTTACACTATCGAGCTTTTTTAAGATGAAACGGAGGTGTTGTGATTACAGCAGACTACGCTGTACTACTGGTATCAGATCATTCTGACTGATTTGCAAGTGACTGGTCTTTTTGTTGACTTCACGGATACTGACCAATCCAGTTTTATACTAGCTTCACATGTACCTTGTAAATCGATACCGCAGAAAAAGCAGACAAATTTAGTTTAATGACCAGGGGTTTTCCGGTATAAAAACAAACAAAGTAACGACAGAGAAAACGAGGAACGTACCGTCTGCCAACTTGAGGATCCGGTACCGGCATCAAAGGAGGTAGCTCTGTCATGTAATGCATTGCTAAGATAAAATAGGAAAGTGTAAGAGTAATGAATAAATGACTTCTTTTGCTTGCAGATTTCAATAACTCGAGATATGGAATACATCATAGGATTTAAAAGACACGAATTAAGACCGTCAACTTCGTGACCAGTCACACAATCTTAGCGATTTCAATTGCTGTTTTTTCGTTACTCATTGGGTAGACCAATGAAGTGTAGCAAATGTTAATGAAAAGTTAAGCGTTATTCAAGTTAACATGTAGGATGTGGGATGTGTAGAAAATGAGCAAGGGCTAGGATACTCATACATATCACCTAATGTCCCCAACCGTTGACTCAACTGATTATCCAGGTCCTGACCGTGAAGTCTAACACAAATCGCATGATTCCGTAACAGATTTTTCTATTTCTAAATCAGAACCCTTTCGTTTTCTGTGAAAATGTTACTGACTACCTTAATTGTTGCTTTAACCAGTGTTGCTCACTAGAAACCGTCTTCATCCATGAAGATAGATATTCATCACCGTTACTGAAACAGCTACGCAGGCGGAAAGAACAGACCTATAAGCATAGACGGGGAACCCATGTCGAGCGGCTTACAATTTTGATCCAATCTGAAGTCGTTTAAATAAATTGTACTTAGACACTATCCTGAGAAACACCAATCGTAGTGACGTTTGAAATAGCTTTCAAAGCGTTTATTGAATCCAATGCAGTCGTGAAAATCTTCGTCATGAGATTTATAGCAGTATTCTAGGGTCCCACGGAAGACAAAAGTTTATCGAAACACTTCTTTACCTCAAAGCTTATAATAGGGGTATCAGATTATTCGGTGCTGCAGCACAGCACTTGAGTTGAATTAGTGAGATCTTAGCGACTACACGGATCAGGCTAATAGTCCAGACCATACTCAAAGAGTAACCTTGTCTTTTCTCAGGTTGAACAAGGGTCTATGGCCAGCCTTTATAACGCTTTGCCATCTCCAGGGCTACCCCGTATCCCAATTTCATTTTGACTTTGTCCGACCTAGCAAACGGTGGCGTTGAACTCCTCACAGAGAACCGAGATTTGGATCTGGGGTACTACGACGACAGCGCCTTACTAATCGTTATCACACAGGCCGTCCAACTTGCTTTGAACCTCTTAGTGATTGACCTGCCCAGAAATCGTGTATTTCGAACCATCAAAATGCAATTTTGTGCAACACTAGGATGAGCCAGTGTCTGCAACCACCCCTTGTGGTGGTTATTCAGAGAACATTCGAAGTTTTAAGTACTTTGAAAGCTTGAACGCAACTGGAGATCTCATTAGAAATATTGGAGGAGATAAGGTTGTGCTAACGCGACGCCGCTATGACATCTGACTATCTCTTTAGAAAGAAGTGCGCATTGTCACAGCTCGTAGTAACCTGTTTCATCGCGGTGAAACCTGGTCTCTCCGCATTAAAGATGGTGAACATCTCTTTGTATTCGACCAGCAGTCTTCTGAGTATATTTTCCGTGTTTCATGGAAACAGGAGAAAATAACGATAAAATCTGTCCTCATGCGTTGAGTGCCGACAGCTGTTCTGTGAAAGAGGAAGTCGCTGTGCAGAGCATCCAATGGTCCGGAAAGGAATATACTGCCTGTCTAACATTTACTTTTACTTGCTTTATTCCAGATATATATATAATAAAGTAAGTGTTGAACATAGAGGTTCTTTTTCTTTGCCTCCCTCCAAGTAGGCCCAATCCCTCTCCATCTTTTGCTTTGTCACTTGATTTGTGTACATTGTGAGCTTGGCAGCGATCAGTGAAGCTCGCTTCACTGTATCTCGCTGTACGACGATGATGATGCTTTATTCCAGATCCCCTCTTTCCACTTTCGTTGGTGCCGTGTCAATGATATTTTTGTTCTTAGGCCAATTGTGTACAGCTAGAGTTCAGTTTAGTTCAGCTTTTACAACCATTAACTAAGCAGTTTCGTGCGCCGGTTTTGGTTGATATCTCTTAGCTGCCCATTTGAATACAATAGAACAGTCAGTGAAAAGATAGAAATTTCATACGCATTACGGTTGCAGGGAAAGAGCCGATGCCCGAGTGCCACTGTTTGCGACACTCAGCAATATCAGTCAGTGTCTCCAACCAGCAGTCACCATGATCTAGAGGTCCCCATCCAGAGTTTGCCGCAATCTGTATGACTGAGTCTCCTAGTTAGTTCTTTTTATACCCTCATGCCACGTTTCAAGGGCAGTCAAGCTTGACTGCTGAATGCAATCTGTGCAGGTCGACTACTTGCGCCAGTGGACGACCGAAATTACCTAAAAATCTCCCTCTAACCAAAAACAGCCCCTGTCCGGTTTCCCCAAAAGACCCTGCAATGCGCCTTATAGCAGAACTGCTACAGCATACACTCAACCTTCTACAGACAGCCAGATGTCGCGACGGAGCCACAGATGTCTTAGGTTGACAAATGCCAATTATGCTTCTTGCATTCGTGCCAACAGGTAAGACACAACTAGTAAAACAGTAAAATGTATCCACTTTCTCCACTACTTCCCGAGTTAGATGTACGGGTTAAGAAGCCTAATGTCGATTAGGGTGGTTGAGCTGAACCTTAAAATGTTCTATTCATCTCTCAGAGCGGCATTGCTGATGATGAATTAGTGTGCCGTCAGACTCTTTAATTACTTTCCTTGAGCCCGTAATCCTAATGCAACGAAAAAGATTGCAACTATTAGCAATAGCTGCAGTCTTCATCTCCCTGCATTAGGATACCTATCACTTCCCGCAATCTTCCATCAGGCCCTTGTTGGGCTAGCGTTTAAGCGATTTACGCATTGCTGAAATCGGTGTTTGGAGGAATTGTTATACAAGTATTGACCAAACTCGTACAACATCCTGATTTTCATCACATTTGTTCCCCTCAATGATCACCTCTCTTTCAACTCGTTAGACGGGATAGATATTTACTTCTTTTGACAGTTAAAAACAAATTCACTAGAAAACTAGCTCAGTAAATCAACTTTCACAATATGCTGAATTACTCGTTGGCCACCAATGAGATAAACCCATTGCCAAATGGACGGGCGACGCGATTTGAATTTGTTGGTAAAACCAATACGCGCTATGCTCTATTGGGCGTTCAATAACGGCTTTATATCACGTGACTTCAGCTGTATTTTAAGTTGAGCCATCATTTTCCAAACGAAAGCCTGGGGGGAGGAATGGCTGATAAGCCCGGACCGTTCTCCAGAATGATTTTGTGCAACTCTTGTCTTCTGAGATCAAATACAACCATCATATTGCTTTTTCTCCCCTCGGTTTATGTCTTGATGGAGAAATTCGGTTGAATATGCAACAAACTGAACTTGTGTTGTCATCGAAGCGCTTCCACAAAGCACCAACTGAGTCATCAGATTTACGCGCCTCCCGGCTTCAATTATACGCCAAAACCTTTTGAAAGTGTCAATCCGATTTGGATATGGTGACACTAGAGGACGTTTATTCAGCGAGCCGCACACCTTGAGGTCAACTTTCGACGACCAACTTCAGTGTTTCTTGGACTATGTTTTCAGTTCTTCCAGTATTGTAGATAATGCGTGAGTAGTTTGTAGTCAAATAACTTGTCAATTTATTCAAGCTAGAATATTTTCATTAATTTGCTTATTTACTGTGCACTGGATGAAAAGAGATTAGAAATTTAGAATACGTGCTCAACTTGATAAACACTCTCATGGGACAGGAATCTTCGATTAAAAATAATTAACTCCCATGCTGTTTTGCCTAAAATATTTTCCAAATCAGCGCTGTAACTTTTGAACTACTACTAATTTTATCGCCACACTCAAGGTCGCGCGAATTCAAACGGTGACAGAAAAGAACTAAGAACATAGATGTTGGAGGTAAAGTCAGGAATAAATACACTTTACTCATAGCCATCTATATATAAGTATGATATTGCAAGCTGAAATGGATTTCCAAAATGAGGATGATGTTGCACGAGTTTGGTCAACACCTGTATAATCTTTCAGCAAAGTAATCGGGGTCGATTATATCTATCGTTTTTGCTTCGATCATTTGCTGGAATCCACCGTTGTGTTGATCCACATTTGGATACGTTCTTCGACTAATTTCCAGTGCTTAATAAATCCTTAGGCTGGTGGTTTAAATGAGCGGCAATGACAGAGCTCTGCTTCAAAAGCTGATTGGTAGCTATCACTTTCAGTGTATTGTGAGTATCCGTTTTCGATGGCTTGCTGCGGTTGTTTACCAGGTGTAAGGAAAGCCTGACCCGTAGCAGAACATGGTTCATGTCCTCGGGTGTTGACCAGCGAGAGCAGCAGTCCTCAATGGACCTCTGCCAGCGGTAGCTGATGATCATGTGGTCGATTTGAGTTTCTCGCTGTGAAGAAGTGATCAGTTTTCATGTTAGCCGGTGTCACTTTACGTGAGGAACGTTGGTGTTCGATAAAAACAATCTGTCGTTCGCACTGATTTGAAGTAGGCGATCTCCGTTGTCCGACCGATTGGCTGGGGTTGAGTGCGAGCCGCCTTGGCACCTTTCTGATTCGTCCAGGAATCCCATTTGGGCACTGAAGTCTCCATTGAATACTACCACGTCCGTTGACGGAAAACTTTGGAACAATTATAAAAGGTATGTGTAGAATTCAGCCTTGATTTGTGGCGAACTGCAATCAGTCGGAGCATACACGGATACGACGAAAAGGGACCCACGCTTTGTTCCGTAGCCGTTGGTCGGTAATAAACCGTTGAGACGTATAATGCGATCGGATACTGACAGGAATCCGGTCAAGAAGCGAGCGCTCAGCCTTGACAATGCGCAATCCCAACACCTGCAACAGCACAGGCGTGGAATGCCGAATCGTCTGACACACGAAGAGTGGAGCATGAGGATGAGGTTGTATATGAGGAGCAGTAGTGACTAAAGTAGTACCTCGTATACGTGTTTCAGAAACACAACATACGTCGGAAACACAACAACAAAGTTTAAAGGGTTCTGGCTAAGGTAGCTTGTTGGTCGATTTGATTGTGTGGACGTAAAATGCGGCTAAGTGAAAAAAAGAGTTCAGTTTCCTCAATTCAATAGCTTCTGGTTGGTTGGCCATA